CCTGACTAGCTGGGACTACAGGCGTGCACCTCCCTGCCCAGGTAATTTTTGTATTTTAGTAGTAATTTTTGTATTTCACCATGTTGGCCAGGCTGGTCTTGAACTCCTGACCTCAGGTGATCCACCTGCCTCAGCCTCCCAAAGTGCTGGGATCACAGGTGGGAGCCATCTTGCCTGGCCCCGGATACTTCCCCCCCCAACTAAATACTCAGCAAGTTTCAGTTGCACGAGGAGGAAAAACTGCGGGACCTTGATCAAAAGCATGACTCAGCGCGCTCTGCTAACGTGCGTCATTAGTCAGTTTTCACAATTTCCATGCAAATGTTCTTTACAGCAAGAGAAAAGCCTTTTTCTTTCTTTATTCCTTTTTTTTTTTGGAGATGGAGCCTTACTCCGTTGCCCAGGCTGGAGTGCAGTGGCGTGATCTCAGCTCACTGCAACCTCTGCCTCCCAGGTTCAAGCAATTCTCTTTCCTCAGCCTTCTGAGTAGCTGGAATTACAGGCACCAGCTGCCACGCCAGGCTAAGTTTTGCATTTTTAGCAGAGATGGGGTTTCACCATGTTGCCCAAGCTGGTCTTGAACTCCTGACCTCAAGTGATCTGTCGCCTTGGCCTCCCAGAGTGCTGAGATTACAGGCGTGAGACACCACGCCCAGCCGAGAAAAGCCTGTTTCTTGACTTTGAGTCAAAGAGACGTGACCCCTGGAGAGACGGAGGATCCGAGAGGCATGAGGAGGCAGGTGAAGGGTGGAGCTGAAGGGTTGGAGATGCAGACAAGTGGCCCCCTGGGGAGATGGGAGGTGGAACCCCACCCCTTCTCCCTGCTCCCTCCATCTCCTCTGCTCCTGTTTCCTCTTTCTGAGCCCCAGCCAGGCCACCCCTTCTTCCCCTTTTGCTGCCACTGCCGCCGGCTAGATTGAGTTCTTCCGGCACTGCATGTCCCCACCCCTGACCCTCTGCCACCTGCGCCTCGACCCTGCATCCCGGAGAGAAAGAAGCTGTCCCATCCCCCACCTGTCGCTGGGAGGGGCCCATGCTGGTGCCCCCGGGAGCCAGATGAGATGCTGGGCAAGCCTCCAGCATCCCCCCCTCCACCTGGTGGATCACACCCATTTTACTGAAGAGAAAATTGAGGCACAGAGAGGGGAAGGACAGCCTTGGAATGTCAGAGCTGAGGCAGCAGGCAGCTGAGCTGGGCTCTTTGGACCTCTAGTCCCAGGCTCTGGAAGATTCCAGCATCAGTATCCCGGACTCAGGGCCGGCTTGACAGGTGCGTGAACTATCCCAGAGGATTCCAGGCTCAGAAGAGCCTGAAGTTTCAGCTTGCACCAAGCCCCAGAAATTCTGCAGCTGGCCCTGCAAGAACCCTGCCCGATTTTGCACCATCTGTCAGATTCTGCCTCCTAAATCTCTCTTCCTTTCTCTCCAGCTCCATGACAGCCACCTTGGTCCAGCCCTGCCCCCCACCTCCTTTGACCCTCCACCCTGATCCCTGGATCCCACCCTCGCCCCCCACAGTCTGTCCTCCCTGCAGCAACCACCAGAGGGCACCTGTGAGCACCTGAGTCAGGCCCATCCCTCCTCTGCCTGCAGCCCTCCATGGCTCCCAAGACCTCCCTGCAGCCCACGAGGCCCTGCACAACCCGCCCTCCCCTCCTCCCTTCCTCCCTCTCCCACACTCACTCACTCTGCTGCTCCAGGGCCTTTGTAGGGGCTGTTCCCTTCGCCTGGTGTGCCCGCTAAGATTTTCAGAGCGACCTTCCAACCTTCAGATGTCACTTCCACCGAGAGGCCCTCCTTACCTGCGTGGCTGTCACAGTCACCTAATTACGCCTTGCCCTGTGTATCCTATGTTATTTCTTTCACAAAAGCTTCTCTACCCGAAGTTATTGTAGCAAATACTACTTATTAGTATTGTTACGACAAATAATAAAAATAGGCGGGACTCGGTGGCTCACGCCCGTAATCCCAGCACTTTGGGAGGCTGAGGCAGGCGGATCGTGAAGTCAGGAGTTCAAGACCGGACTGGCCAACATGGTGAAACTCCGTCTCTACTAAAAATACAAAAGTGAGCTGGGCGTGGTGGCGCATGCCTGTAATCCCAGCTACTTGAGAGGCTGAGGCAGGAGAACTGCTTGAACCAGGACCCGGAAGGCGGAGGTTGCAGTGAGCAGAGATCGTGCCACTGCACTCCAGCCTGGGCTACAGAGAGAGACTCCATCTCGAAAAAAATATATATATTAAAAACACAAAAACTTGCTGGCCACACAAAAATAGCTGGATCTGGCCCTCTGGGAGCGGTAGTTTGTCACTGTTGCTGTGAGCATTTTACAATCAACTCAGGCGACCCTCACTTTGATGCGGTAGGCATGGTCTGTTGAGGTCCTCTTTTTTTTTTTTTTTTTTTTTTGAGATGGAATCTCGCTCTGTTGCCCAGGCTGGAGTACAGTGGTGTGATCTCAGCTCACTGCAACCTCTGCCTCCCAGGTTCAAGCGATTCTCCTGCTTTACCCACCTAAAATGAGCCTCCTAAAATACTAAAATGAGCCGGGCAGGAGCCACCATGCCTGGCTTATTTTAGCATTTTTAGTAGAGACAGGTTTCTCCATGTCGGCCAGGTGCTCTCAAACTCCTGACTTCAGGTGATCCACCTGCCTCGGCCTCCCAAAGTGTTGGGATTACAAGTGTCAGCCACTGTGCGCGACCGAAGTCCATGTTTTATAGATGGGGAAACGGAGGCACAGAGCAGCAAAGCTGCTAGTCTAGGGTCACTGAGTGAGGCCCTGGCTGCACCAGGGTTTGAAACCAGGAAGTCTGGCATGGGGGTGGGGGTACCTGGTGTAGGGTTGGGGGTGCCTGGTGTAGGGTTGGGTGGGAGTGCCCGGCGTGGGGTTGGGGGTGCCTGGTGTAGGGTTGGGGGTGCCTGGCATGGGACTGGGGATGCCTGGTGTGGGGTTAGGGGTGCCTGGCCTGGGGTTGGGGGTGCCCGGTGTGGGGCTGGGGGTGCCTGGCGTGGGGCTTGGGGTGCCTGGCCTGGGGTTGGGGGTGCCCGGCGTGGGGTTGGGGATGTGCAGCCTGGGGTTGGGGATCCCTGGCATAGGGTTGGGGGTGCCTGGTGTGGGATTGGGGGTGCTGCACGGAGGTTTGGGTGGGGGTGCCTGGCGTGGGATTGGGGATGCCTGCCCTGGGGTTGGGGGTGTCTGGCGTGGGATTGGGGGTGCCATGCGGAGGTTTGGGTGGGGGTGCCTGGAGTGGGTTGGGGATGCCTGGCATGGTGTTGTGGGTGCCTGGTGTAGGGTTGGGTGGGGGTGTCTGGCGTGGGGTTGGGGGTGTCGGGGATGGGAGCCCCGTGGAGGCTGAGCAGTCCCCTGCTCTGTCTCCAGGCACTGGCGAGAGTGGGAAGAGCACCTTCATTAAGCAGATGCGGATCATCCATGGCGCTGGCTACTCGGAGGAGGAGCGCAAGGGCTTCCGGGCCCTGGTCTACCAGAACATCTTCGTGTCCATGCGGACCATGATTGAGGCCATGGAGCGGCTGCAGATCCCCTTCAGCAGGCCCGAGAGCAAGGTGAGCCCCCGGGGCAGGTAGGGGCCCAGGGTAGGGTTCCCCACACCCTGGGGCAGGACCATGTCCCTCAGATCCTAGGGCAGGGTGGGGTCCCCTAGACCTCATGGCAGGGCAGGGCCATGTCCTCCAGACATGTGTGCATACTTACACATGCACACACAAGTATACACACAAAGATGCACACACATGAACACGTGTGCACACACAAACGCACACAAGAAGGATACATGCACATGCCGCCACACAGATGCACTCAAATAAGTGCACACACAAATGCACACACCCGTGCACGTGTACACACATACACACACAGAAGCATGCATGCAAATTCCCACATGCACACACATACACACGTGCACACACAAACTCACACAAGGATACACACATGTCCCTATGCAGTCCCCCATGCACATGCACAAACATATGCACACACACACACACACACACACGCACATGCATACCTATGCATGCACCCACAAATCACCCAAGGATACATGCGTGTGCCCCACACACAAATATGCACACACATCACACACCCATGCACACGGGTACATCGGTACACACATTAGTACACCTGCACGTGCACACGCACAGAGAGATGCACAGACAACACAGGGTCCATCACAGAGGCCCCAGTGGTTGGACGGAGCCAGGGCTGTTTGGGAAAAGACGGGGAAGCCCAGGGCCCGGCGGCCAGCTCGGGGATCGTGTGCTCCGGGGGGCCTGTGTGGGGCCTGGCTTCAGCACTCTGTGCCTCAGTCGCCTCATCTGTAGAATGGGGGGACTTCAGTGCCTTGCCTCCTGGGAGCCAGCGAGTGGAAAGAGCAGGACTGGGCACCGTGTTCCGCCTGAGCCTGGGCAGCCCGAGCACATGTGCCCTCTGCAGCCTCTCAGGTGCTGGCCTGCGCTTTTCCCTCCGGGAACAGACAGAGGACAGATTAGAGGTGTGTGGGGTGCTCCCAGGACCAGGGTCACTCCTGAAACAGGGTCCTCGCAGGAATAGGGACCCCGAGGCACAGGGTCACTCCAGGAACAGGGTTCTCCAGGAATAGGGTACCCCAGGAATAGGGTCCCTCCAAGAACAGGATTACTCTAAGAATATGGTCCCCCCAGGAAGAGGGTCACCCCGGCAGCAGGATCCCCCCAGGAACAGGGACCCAGAGGCACAGGGTCACTCCAGGAACAGGATTCTCCAGGAATAGGGTCCCCCCAGGAACAGGGTTACCCCAAGAACAGAGTCACTTTAGGAATACAGTCCCTCCAGGAATAGGGTCACCCGGGAAGCAGCGTCCCCCCAGGAACAGGGACCCCAAGGCACAGGGTCACTCAGGAACGGGGTTCTCCAGGAATAGGGTTCCCCCAGCCACAGGGTACCCCCAAGAACAGGGTCACTCTAGGAATACAGTCTCCCGAGGAACAGGGTCACCCCGAAGCAGGTTTCCCGCAGGAACAGGGGCCCCCAGGCACAGGGTCACTGTAGGAACGGGGTCCCCCCCAGAACAGGGTCTCTCCCAGGAACCGGATTCCCTCAGGAAGAGGAACAGCACCCCGAGGCACAGGGGGCTCTGGGGTAGAAGAAAGGGAGTGTGAGAGAATGTGTGTCAGGGAGGGACGCGGGGGCTTGCAGAGAGGCCCGGGAAGGCCCCGCTTGGACAGGCTGCCCTACTGCCCCGTCCTCCCTCCCCAGCACCACGCCAGCCTGGTCATGAGCCAGGACCCCTATAAAGTGACCACCTTTGAGAAGCGCTACGCCGTGGCCGTGCAGTGGCTGTGGAGGGACGCCGGCATCCGGGCCTGCTATGAGCGCCGGCGGGAGTTCCACCTGCTGGATTCAGCCGTGTAGTGAGTCTGGGGTCCGTGGGGATGGGTGCGTGGGGAGGGGCCGAGGGCAGGGGCCAGGCTGGCTGGCTCCCTGCAGCCGGAGATACTATGGGTGCAGATGGGCTATGGTCCAGCTCCAGGATGAGGTCCTTCCAGGGGGACACCCTAATTCCTGGGGGGACCCTGTTCTGGGAGTAACTGTTTTCCTGGGGGGGACCTTGTTCCTGGGTGGACCCTGTTCCTTGGGGGTGACTCTGTTCCAGGGGTGATCTTGTTCTTGGAGTGACTGTTCATAAAGGGACTCTGTTCTAGGGGTGACCCTGTTCCTGAGGGAATCCAGTTCCTGGGGGAGACCCTGTTCTGGGGGGACTGCATTCCTAGAGTGACTTTGTGCTTGGGGGTCCCTGTTCCCGTAGGAACCCTATTTCAGGGGTGACTCTGTCCCTGGAGGGGATCATATTCCTGGAGTCCTAGAGTGACCCTGTCCCTGGGGGGACCCTATTCCTGGAGAACCTGTTCCTGGAGTGACCCTGTGCCTCAGGGTCCCTGTTCCTGCCAGGACCCTGTTTCAGGGGTGACCCTGTTCCTGGGGGGACCCTGTTCTTGGAGGTGACTCTGTTTCCAGGGAGACCCTGTTCCCTGGGGGACCCTGTTCTGGGGGTGACCCTTTTCCTGGAGTGACCCTATTCTTGTGGGGACTGTATTCCTAGAGTGACACTATTCTTGGGGGAACCCTGTTCCTGAGAGGACCTTGTTCTTAGGGGGACCCTATTCTTGGAGCACCTCATTCCTGGAGTGACCCTATTCCTGGGGGGAACCTGTTCCTAGAGAGATCCTGTTTTAGAAGGACCCTGTTCTGGGGGTGACCCTGTTCCTGGGGGGACCTTGTTCCTGGGGGGACACTCTTACTGGAAAACCGTGTTCCTGAAGTGACCCTATTCCTGGGGGGAGCCTGTTCCTAGAGTGACCCTGTTATAGGAGGGACCCTGTTCTGGGGGTGATCCTCCTCTGGGGGTGACCCTGTTCTTGGGAGGACCCTTTTCTGGGGGGACCCTGGTCCACGGGAAACCCGGTTCTGAGGGTGACCCTATTCCTAGTGGGATCCTGTTCTAGGTGTGATGGATGTCCAAGGTGACTTGGTGTCTGGGAAGGCTGTTCTCAGGCTATCAGCATTCTTGGGGCAGTGCCACCCCTGGCATAGCAGCTCTCTGGGGGGACGCCACTCCCCAGTGATGCTGTTCCTCATGTCACGTCATCCATGGGGTCACCCTGCTCTTAGTGTGAAGCTGCTTTCCTTGAGGCTCCGTTGCCTCGGGGTGGGGGACATTCCTGGGCCATCTGCCAACCCCAGGGATCCTGGACCTCCACAAGGGAGCTCTCCTCCTCCAGCAGCCCCAGCAGGGCTCTCGCTGGGCCTTGTGTAGGACCCTGGGAAGCAAAGGGAGGCTGGCTGCAAGGCTGGGCCTCAGGACTCCTTGCTCCGCAGCTACCTGTCCCACCTGGAGCGCATCACGGAGGAGGGCTATGTCCCCACTGCTCAGGACGTACTCCGCAGCCGCATGCCCACCACTGGCATCAATGAATACTGCTTCTCCGTGCAGAAAACCAACCTACGGTGAGTGTTCCACCTGGGTCCAGCCTGGGAGTGCAGGGAAGGCTTCCTGTAGGAGGGGCAAAGGAGATGGATGAGTGGATGAATGAATGGGTAGATGGATGAGTGGATGGATGGGTAGATGGGTAGATGAATGATAAATGAATGGGCAGATGGGTGGTGGGTGGGTGAGTGAAGGATGGATAGATGAGTGGAAGAATGGATGGATGAATGAATGGATAAGTGGATGGGTGGGGGGTGGATGGGTAGATGGGTGGATGAGTGAGTAGATAGATGGGTGGATGGATAATGGGTGGATAGATGAATGAGTGGCTGAGTACATGGAGAGATGGGTGGGTGGGTGGGTAGGTGGACTGAGAAAATGGGTGGACAGGTAGGTGGATGATGGATGGATGGATGGGTAGCTGGTAGATGGATAGATGGATGGATGAGTGAATGGACGGATGAATGGGTGAATGGATGGGTGAATGAGTGGATGGATAGATGAATAAATGAGTAGATGAGTGGATGGGTGATGGATGAATGGATGGGTGGGTGGATGGGTGAGTGAAGAATGGATGGATAAGTGGGTAGATATGGATGGGTAGGTGGGATGGATAAATGGATGGGTGAATGCATGGATGGATGGGTGGATGAGTGGGTGGGTGGATGAATGAATGGGTAGATGAGTGGATGGTGACAGATGAATGGATGAATGGGTGGATGGGTGAGTGAAAGGTGGATAGATGAGTGGATGAGTCTGTGGGTGGGTGGTTGAGCAGATGGGTAGACAAGTGAGTGGATAGATGGGTAGATGGATAAAGGGTGGATAGGTGGTTGGATAGATGGATGTATGGATGAGTAGATGGAGAGATGGAGATGGATGGGTGGGCAGACAGGTGGACTGAATAAATGGGTGGACAGGTGGGTGGATGATGGATGGATGGATAGATGGGTAGATGGATAGATGAGTGAATGAGTAGATGAGTGGATGGCTGATGAATGGATGGGTGGGTGGATGGGTGAGTGAAGAATGGATGGATAAGTGGGTAGATATGGATAGGTAGGTGGGATGGATAAATGGATGGGTGAATGCATGGATGGATGGGTGGATGAATGGGTGGGTGGATGAATGAATGGGTAGATGGGTGGGTGGTGACAGATGAATGGATGAATGGGTGGATGGGTAGTGGGTGATGGATGAATGGATGAATGGGAGGATGGGTGAGTGAAGGATGGATGGATGAGTGGATGGATGGATGAATGGATAAGTGGATGAGTGGGTGGGTGGGTAGATGGGTGGATGAATGAGTGGATAGATGGGTAGATGGATAATGGGTACATAGATGGATGGATGGATGAGTAGATGAAGAGAGGGATGGGTGGGTGGATGGGTGGATTGAGTAAATGGGTGGACAGGTGGGTGGATGATGGATGGATGGATAGATGAGTAGATGGATGGATGGATGAGTGGATAGATGGATGGGTGGATGGATGGATGGGTGGGTGGGTGGACTGAGTAAATGAATGAACAGGTGGGTGATGGACAGATGGATGAGTGGATGGGTGGGTGGATCGGTGGGTAGATGGGAGGACGAGTGAGTGGAGAGATGAATGGATGAGTAGATGAAGAGAGGGATGGGTGGGTGGGTGGGTGGATTTAGTAAATGGGTGGACAGGTGGGTGGATGGTGGATGGATGGGTAGATGGGTAGATGGATAGATGGATGGATGAGTGAGTGGATAGATGGATGGGTGGATGGATAGATGGGTGGGTGGGTGGGTGGATGGATGAGTGAAGGGATGAGTGAATAAATGGATGAATGGGTGGGTGGTTGGGTAAAAGTTCAGGAGTGAAGGTAGAGGCTGGGGAATCACAGAGGGAATTCTGGGCCGAGGAGGTGATTTTCACGTATGGCCCAGGAACGAGACGAATGAATGGAGGGAGGGCTCAGAGGACACTGAGTCCCGAGATGGGAGGTGACGCCCACAGTATACCCAACTGGCCAGTTGCTGACCCCACTCCTGTCTCAGAGCCCCCTCTCGACAGCCCCTCGCCCCTTTCTGGTTCTGGATGTGGGGTTTGAGGGACTCTGAGGACACATCGGGGGAGCGGGTCTCAGGGATCAGGAGACACGTATGCCAGCGGCAGCCTAACGGCTTAATCACCAGTCTTTGTTTCCTCTCCTGTGCAATGGGGCAAGTCCCCTCTTGCTTCAGGCCCGGGCTTGTCCAAAGCCTCTGCTCTGGCACTTCCTGAGTAACGGTTGTGTCCCCAGGGAAATGACACACAGATGGTTATCAGTGACCCACATTTCTCAGAAGAGAGAGAACAGGAAGGTGGGGGCAGGGCTCAGGCTTTTGCTGTGGGTGTGGGGCTGAGCCACAGATGGAGGGGAGGACGTGTGCTCTGGGAACCGACCTCATTCCCATCCGTGTGGCCGCTGGACACTCCCATGGCCAGCCTGAGCACGGGAGCCCCCATGGCACAGATGGGAAAACTGAGTTTTGGAGATGTTTGGCAATTTCCCTTGCTGGGTCACCCAACCAGCACCAGGGCACATCCTAGATCTGTTCCACCTGCTGCCCTCTAATGTGGGGGTACAAGGCAGGCAGCTCAGCACGGTAGAAGCTTGGGAAAGTCCCCTGTCCTCCCTGCGTCTCAGTCTCCTCATCTGTAAAATGGGCGTGAAGAGTCATCCCTGCCTCGAGTGAATGACATGGCAAATCCACCAGAGGCTGGCACCTGTTCTTGCTGCTGCCACTATTGATCCTGGCATATCCCAGATGTGACGGGGGTCAGGGGTGTCACAGAGCAGGGTCCTGAGCTCTGAAAGGGGGCACCCCGGTTCCCTGTAGGATCGTGGACGTCGGAGGCCAGAAGTCAGAGCGTAAGAAATGGATCCATTGTTTTGAGAACGTGATCGCCCTCATCTACCTGGCCTCGCTGAGTGAATACGACCAGTGCCTGGAGGAGAACAACCAGGAGGTGTGTGCCACTGCCTCCTTCACCCTTCCCACTTGTTGACCCGGGGACCCTCATCCCAGCAGGAAGCTCTAATGCAGAAAGCGAGATGTCCCTGCTTTCCAATGAGCCTGTGTGCCCAGCACGGCTTTGAACTTGACCTTTCATCCTTTTGTGTCAAATTGCAGCAAGACACAGACCCACAGCATTTGTCTGGCCAGGACCCCAGACACACACACACATGCACTACACACACATGAACACACACACACAATGCACACACACGCACATGCACTATACATGTACATAAACACACACTCATGGGTGTAATACATGCACATGCGCACACACACGTGCACATGTACACAAGCACTGTACAATATATGCATGTGAACATACATGCACCACATCACGCATGCTCATGCACACAATACATGCACACATATGTGCACACACATGCACACAGACATGCACACGTGCACAATACATGCTGACACACACACGCACACGAACACATGCACATGCACTACACACGCACACACATGCACATACATGCACTGTACATGCACATAAACACACGCACCTATGCGCACAATACATGCACATGTGCACACAAGCACACATGCAGTGCACACACGTGCACACACACATATACGCCTATGAACACGCATGCATCACATGCACACACGTGTACAACATATGCACATGCACACACCTGCTCACACACACGTGCACATGCACACGTGGAAATTCCTGTCCACGCTCTGGCCACACCACAGAACCCCAGGGCTTCTGTCACACGCTTCACAGACACATCCTTGAGTCAGCCACACATGGATGCACAGCCACACAAGCACCGCCTGCCCTGAGGAACACTCGACCCTGTGACAGGCACGGCCGCCTGCACACACGCAGGCGCAGCCGGCGCAGGAGAGCAGGTCTCCCCGCAGGCGTGACGTTCTGCTTCGGTTCAAAAAGGCTCAAGGCTGCTCCTGCTTTTGGGGATGTGAACTTTCCTCCTACTTAATCCCTGAGTCCAAAGGTCGGGTGCATTGTTACCCGCAAGGCGTGACTGTAGGGGTTGAGGTTTCATCCAGATAGTTTGGGGACCTGAGGGTCAGAAGATACAATTTTGACTTCCAGGCTGAATTAGACGGAATGCATTTTAGGTCACCCTGATACTGCTTGTCCTCTGGTCCAGCCACCAGAAATGGACTTGTTTCCCAGGGCTTTCGTAAGAAAGCTGCACAAACCAGACAGCTTCAACAACAGATATTTATTCTCCACAGTTCCAGAGGCCAGGAGTCAGACAGGGACGTGTAGGCAGGGCCGTGTCCACCTCAGAATCTGTCCCAAGCCTCTCCTGGGTCCCAGTGGTGGCCGGTGATCCTTGGCGATCCTTGCTTGTAGAGGGGTCACCCCGATCTCTGCCTCCACCTCACACACAACATCCTTTCTGTGTGCACGTCTGTGTGTACATTTCCTCGTTTTTGTTTGGAGACAGAGTCTTGCTCTGTCACCCAGGCTGGAGTTCAGTGGTGTGATCATAGCTCACTGCAGCCTCAAACTCCTGGACTCAAGCAATCCTCTCACCTAAGCCTCCTGAGTAGCTGGGACTACAGGTGCGTGCCACCATGCCTGGCTAATTTAAAATATTTTTGTAGAGATGGGGTGTCACTATGTAGCCCAGGCTGGTCTCGAACTCCTGGGCTCAAGCGATCCTCCTGCCTTGGACTCCCAAAGTGTTGGGACAACAGGCACGAACCACTGCGCCTTTTTGATTTTTTGAGACGGAGTCTCAGTCTGTCGCCCAGGCTGGAGTGCAGTGGGGGGATCTCAGCTCACTGCAAACCAGCGTTCTGAGGTTCCTCCACTGAATCAGTTCCTCCACCAAATTGCTCCAGGTTCAATCAGTGTTCCTGCCTCAGCCTCCTGAGTAGCTTGGATTACAGGCGTGTGCCAGCACACCTGGCTAATTTTTTTTTTTTTTTTGAGAC